CATATATAGGATCAACTTTTGAAGCCAATCAAATTGTCAGTTTAGACTATTTAACTCACTATATATTATAAATCATCCTAATTCATAGTTCTCAGTCCTTATTTCTATAGCATGAGCTGACACATTAGGTTCTTTCCACAGATTTCTCTCTGTGTTTTGTTCATTTTTAGGTTTTCAACACTTATTCCAACGAGGACTACGACCGGCGTAATGAGGAAGTGGATCCTGTGGCCTCCTCTGCTGAGTACGAACTGGAGAAGAGGGTGGAGAAACTGGAGCTCTTCCCTGTGGAACTGGAGAAAGGTGGGAACGAACGTCCTAATGAGGAAGCTGAGCTGTCTGTTACTCATTCTGCCCTGGAGACAGAATCTCCCACACGCCGGCCGCGATCGGATGTCTCTTATTATTAAACGTGTATCTGTTGTCCTTCCGGTATTCACGTTGTTTTGTTCAGCCATTTCATCGAGGAGTAATCTGCCACAAATCTCCTCAGATTTCACTAAAAAGCACAGAGGAGAGCTCCTGGTTCTAATGGTCCTCCATGCAGGCTTTTTACGCAGCGTGAATCATCGGTACTCAGCTTCTTCTCCACTTGTCTTGTTCTTGTTGAGATGTTTCCCAAGTTACAAATCATACCTGCCAGGAAACTAAAATAGTGGCTTCACGTTGTAGAATTCCTCCATCCACTCACTGTTATGTAACCCGGACAGCTTGTGAATAATTAATACAGGAGGGAAAAGGATAAAGGGAAGTTCTCATCCAGCGTATTTGCTTTGTGAAGGCAAGCTCATGAAATGTAGTTTTTTTTTTCTTCTTCTACTTAATTAATCAGTCATGTTTAAATGTGCACTGAATAACATTCCCTCATATCCCACCCTACAACTCATTTTGTCACCTTACATCATTTGGCTGGTTGAATTCAAGCTGGTTAGAATTTAGAAAAGCTTTAAAGCACTCAACTGGTGGTTTTTGGTTCATACTGGGGGAAAGCTTATTTCATCCAGTCCCTAAAATAAAATAAAAAATTAATAAGTTAAGCACATTTTGATTTATATTTGATGTTAGTAACTCACTAGGCTGAAACAGTTTGTGAGTTGTTCTTCAACTGCCTTTACGAGGAAATTTCCAAAATGTCTCGAAACATTCACGGGGTTCTCCTTTTCATTGCGTAACTTGCACAGAAGTACATGAAACACGCGTTACTCAAGTTTTCTCTCAAATAGTCAGTTTTCACAAAAACCACCTTGAATCCTACACAAGTGCAGAACCTCACAGTCCTGCATGTCCAGGTCTATAAACCATGTTTATTACGAGTGGGCATTAAAAATGTGTCCAAATGTGCGTATGTTTGTGTCAAAGTTTACACCAGTAGTTTATAAGATAAATCTTAGGGGGGACACTGCCAAGGAGGATACAAAGCAGGTCAAGTTGGGTACAGTGTGGTCAACAAAATAATGTGCGTGGCTTAGAGTGCAGTTTTGCAATAAATAAATAAATAAATAAAGGAACCTCACAAACCATGGCTTATTCAAAATTTTCATTTTGTATAATTTACTTGCTAACTTATTCCCGCATAGGATGACATACTTTATCCTGCCAGTCACAAATAAAGGCTTGATGTCTGTGAATAAGTTTAGACATCGGAAACATTTAAACCAAACCTAGCCTGATTTTATCCACATCTATGGACAGTTTAGATGTCACTTTCTCTTTACAAACAAAAACAACTCCCTCCCTCCRGAGTCTGATTATTACGTGAGAAGCTCCAGAACTGTAGGTGAGTTTAAAACAAACGTTCAGCCGGTTATATCTGGAGAGAGCAATAAGAGTATAACTGAACTAAGCAGTGCTTAGCAGAGTTAACAGTCCATCCACATGTTCCTCATGTTTCCAGARGAAGACGGTCTGGGGATCAGCATCATCGGAATGGGTGTCGGCGCCGACGCCGGCCTGGAGAAACTGGGCATCTTTGTCAAGACCGTCATCGAGGGAGGAGCTGCTGAGAGAGACGACAGGTGAGAGCTGCTTTTCTTTCTTAATTTAGAACACATTTCAGTCCAAAAATGGGATTGAAAATTAATCTAGYAAAACTCAGTCGCAGCAGTTTCTGCCAGCCCACCTTCACACTCCGCCTCAGTCTCTGTTGCTCGCACGGTCACGCTCTGTCCTCGTCAGAGTTAACAGCAGAGGTTCAGATTAGATCCACTGACTCTGTGCGTGTTTGTGCTGTAGGTGGATTGTGGATGATAATACACCAGGGTGTGGTGTGTCTCCTGGATGACATGCTAATATGCAGAAGTAAACACAAAACTCCCATTTTTTCCTCATCTGCAGTGTGTTTTTGTCTCTGTCCCCAGACGGTGCATTTGTGCACGCTTCAGAAAGCGCGAACAGTGCGGAGTAAGCACTTAGCCGGGGTTACACGATATGACAGCTTCTCAGCAGGCGGGCTGTGATTTCTGCCTCCAAACCACAAGCTTCCACCCATTAGTGTGTTTGTGTGGTTTGAGTTCCCCTTTAAACCGATTAAAACATTGATAGGCGGCAGTATGAGGGCAGGGAGCGCTGTGAAAGTTTTCATCCAAACTGGGAATCCTGATGCAGCAGGGTTGTTTTGCGGTCTGTGCTTTTCTTCAGGGAATAATTTATTCCTTCATGCAGCAGGTTTTTCAGAACGACAGTGAGAATAGCTAAGATGTAAAAAGTAGAGAGAGAGAAAGAAAAAAGCTGCTTTTTCTCAAAAGCATGATAACTGAACTCCAAAAAGGCCCCAGCAATAAGCAGTTCTATGAAAYAAAAGTTGTGAATTTGAGCTGAAATGTGACCCATCACATCAAACTGAGAATTCAGTCTAATTTGGTCAAAATGACCTCCACACATTTTCCCACTCCTGTTTTTTTAGGATACATTTTGATTTCTGGATCATCTTGTTATCAAACAGTAAATAGTTCCAGAGATATACCTTCATTTGTCCTCATAATTACAATAACTCATTAATATTTGGTCTGAATCCTATTTTTCGGTTATTCTAATGAGGATTTTTTTATCTCAATTTAGAGGGGAAACCTTCAACAATTTACCGGCAGGAAAGACAAAAAGCTTTGCTAGCAGGCAGGGAAAATGACCAACATGAAGTTTTTTTCTGCTCAATATCATGTTTTTGTAGCTACTGCCTGAAGACGTTCTTCAAAAAATATTTAGATAAGGTATTTATTATATTTTGAAAAGATGCACATAGATCTGCTTGTTTCTCCACACACCACTTTGGGACTTCATCCTTGGTTCGATGTGATGGGCCACAAATATTTTGTTGCATTTTAGTCACCAAGTATCATAATTATGCTTCATTGTTTACTTATATTTTATTTTGTTGTGCCCTCATATCACCTGGAATGTTAGATTCTCTTTTGTGTCTCGAATCAGTCTCAAAATAGTCTCATAAGTTGRCGACCCTCTGGATTCTGGATGCCTCTGGCCGCTCTGTGACTAGTTTGAGAAGAGAGTCATATTTTCCATCCACATTTTCTCTTTTCTTGTTGTGGCTGTGCCTCGCCACACACAGTTACATAAATCTTTTTTTTAATTTTTGACCGTAAAGGTCAAGACAACGTCTGAGCTGCTGCTGACAGACAAGCAGCTCGGTTTCTTTCTGCCTGTGAGGCCGACAGGTTTCTATACATCCATTTGACATGGCTCTGCTGGATGCTGTAAGTGTCACAGTCATCCCTCTCAGCAGCTGCTCTGTGCTTCATGGATGCGTGTAAAAGAACTGAAAGGAAACGGCAACTGACAAGCATTTTTTTTCCTGTCTTGTTTTCGTTGGAAATTGAAAAATAGTGTTCATGGTGTTGGCTTTGGTCAATAAAATGTCWGATTTTCACTCATTCTTGTTTAATTGGGGTTGACTTAAGTGCTTTTATTAAGAAATCTCTAAAGCATGTAAATAGAAATGTATTTCTTATCATTTMAAATGAATAAAAATTGCATCACCCTTATCACCATTCTGCTGCTATTCTTCCATTTCTATCTGCCTCATTCTTTTCATAGATTTGGAAAAAACGGCAAAAATGTGTAGTTCAGTCCGTAATAGAGGGCTATAATTTTTGTTGGCATTACATAATACAGTGAGAATAAACACTGGGATTTTGGCAAAATTAGGGAAAGAAAACAGCCCCGATAGGAGCTCATTTTTCTAAGTTAAAACAGGTCACAGGAAGTTGGACTCAACTTGACTCAAATGACACTTTGATATCTTTAACAGGTTTCACTTGATAGTTTTGGAAGACTTTTCCTCCGAATTTTCAAGTTACGATGTTTAGAGCTGTTCAAACTTTCCAAACGTTGCTGTAAACCTTTCTAATTTTCACAAAAATACATAAAAACGTAAGTATTTTGGTTTTCTTTCACTAAGCTTTACTCTCATTTCACAGCTTACTTTTCCCTGAAATCCCAGAGAAAACAAAAAACAACTTGCGCACTGTTTGTCCAAAGCCTACTTTGTAGCCTGCATTCTTGCTGTCAGGGAGTGAGAAACATTGATATGCTGCCACCGTGGAGATCCAAATGAGCCACTGGAAGCAGCTTTACCATTTCTTTTTAAAATTCTAACACTTTTTTTTTTTTTATCTGGGAAGGTGGTAGCTCGGTGGTCACTGCTGGGTCTGGAATGGCATCTGTCGTCAAACAATTGCCAAATTCGCTCCGGCAACCCCTGCAGAAGGCAGGAGTTGAAAGTAAAACAACAAAGTAAAGTTTATTCTTTTAAAATGTAGACATTTTTTCCCCTAGATTATTACCAAAATAATAAATTCCTGTTGAGCTTTAGAAGAAGGCTGATGCTTCGYGCAGCAATACAGAGAAATCACATCAAGCCTTCAGTGATCTTTTTACATCATAAAACGGTGACGACTGGACTAATGTGAGAAGAAAATTAGAAGTTCTAAAATACAAGCAGTTCAGTGGAAACTAAAGTGGTGTCGTAAAATAAACGCCACACTAACGCCTTAAAGCACTAAAGAATTAGAATATTATGCTCTGTTGAAAAATAATGAGCACTGCTTTTTGTTTTATTCATATGCAGGAGAGGAAATTATTCACAACCCCTGTTGGAAATCTCTTTAGCCTTTTTTCTATTCATATTATCAACAAGATTTCATTTAAATAATGAGCAAAGARGTCTGTTTTAAGTGTGTCTTTGCATTGTCTGTTATCTGTTGGCCGCTTTCAGGTCAGAACTGATCTGAGCTCCACATCGTCGTTAGCTTTCTGATGATTTTAAGCCGTGTTTCATGTTAAGCTGCACAGATTTGTAAACAGCGCAGCTGACATTGACATGATTAAAGAAAGACACCAGTAACATTGATTAATTWTTTTCTTTTTTGCTCAAAGGGATGACCGAGGCTTCTGTTTGTGTGTTTCAGGATCAAGGTGAACGACCAGATCGTGGAGGTGGACGGGACCAGCCTGGTGGGCGTCACTCAGAGCTTTGCTGCCTCCGTCCTCAGGAATACATCAGGAGTGGTTCGGTAAGACAATAAACCTGGGCCCAAACATTTTTATTTTAATATTTAGCAGTGTGATGGCTCAGTGGTTAGCACTGACGCCGCACAGCAAGAAGGTCCTGGGTTTGATCCCCATTGGACCTGGGGTCTTTCTGTGCAGAGTTAGCATGTTCCCCTCGTTCTTGTGTGGGTTTTTTCTGGGTACTCCCGTCATTATCCACAGACCAAAAACGTGCAGTAGGTTGGATCTCACTGAGATTTGCTTGGTTAAAAAAACGGTAAAATACAATTCTTCTAACGTAGGACTGTCACGATGCATTTTCCAGGATGATAAATTGTCTCAGATAGTATTACAATAAACGATAATATCCTTTGGAGACCATTTAAAACTAATTTAGCAATGCCACCCCACCACTCCTCCCACTAACAAAGGCTACGGACGTTTACAAAATGTATGTACATAAAACAAGTTACAGTCTCACCTGGACTGGAAYTTTACATAGCGTAAAAAACCCCAACTCTCTTCAAACACGAGGTTTGGCACCCGGTCCTTAGGCATTGCCGGCTGAAAGAAGGCATCAGAAAACCGAATCCCCTCCTCTAGCTAAACGCCCATTCATGGGGCTCCCCTGCAAAGAGCTTACAAAACTATGAGCCTGATAATTACCTGATGCGAGAGTTTGCTCCTCCCTACGCTAACTAGAAAAAGGGGAGACACGAAAACAACAAACAGGCAGGCAAATGGAAATGATCAACCTTATTTTATTTGTAAATTTCATTTTTTGCCACTTCAGTAGAAAGCAGAACTGAATATCTGAATATTAATATCTTAGCTTCTTCATCATCAATGGCTTTTTTTAATAGGAGAAAAAGAAAGAGAAAGAAAAAAGTGAAATGTAATGAGAAAGAGTGAAAGAGAGATTAGAAGATATGTGAAATATATGTTGAGAAAACACAAGACAGCACAAAAAAATATCAATTTCATTTTAACATGTTGTATTAATTGATTTATTGCTTATGGTGACGGGCCTACTCGCGTGTTCTGCTTTGTTCTGTGAGGAACTGCTACCAACTCCGTGAAGAAGTTGTTTTCAAATGCTAATTAGGGTTTAGATTGCTCTTCCTGATTTAATTTTGGATTTTGAATGTGCCAAAGTCAGACATGATCACTTGACATCTGAGCAGAGAGTGAGCTGTGTAGTTCTGAATTTATTTAGCCCCGCTGTCATGCTGCAAAAAAAAAAAACAGCACTTCAGTCACCATACTTGGTGTGAAACGTTCACACACACACACACACACACACACACACACACACACACACAC